TTAGTTACTATCTGTCTTTTAATAAGCAGCGAAGTATGTTGTGATGACCGATTAGACACTCAGTTACACTGAAAAGAGATAAAAGTACAAAGGACAATTTTACTTGATTATTCCAGTTTAGTCACGTCATTATATTATACATGTGGGCCATCATAAAGTAAGGATTATACTTTACATTCTTATATAATTTTAAGAAATCAAGTTAGCATAAAGTAAATAGAAATCTAGTTGCTTCAATAATAATTAAGATTTTTCTGTATCAACTGTCAAACATAAACATCGCAATTTAGATATATAAGCAGATATTTTGTAAATGCATGGCCTCCAAGATCGCCTGATATTAACTCAGCGGATTACTGGCTGTGGCGTTTAAATTAAAAAATTTCGTGTTTATAACACGACTAACGCTGGATGAATTAAAAGACTATTAGGGAGCAAGTGGCAGCAGTTCAAGCAGAAATGCTTGTTGCAAATAATCCAACATATTTTATCGATACCTAATCAGTCAAATTAATTAGAACCTTCGAGGCTAATAAAGCGCAATATTTGCAATTTAAGAGATTTCCCCGCCGTAATTAGGTCGCATATCCAAGTTACGAAAATTTTATTTTAACGTCTGGAAGGGATACCTATGTAAAAGGTGAAAATGATGTCACCAAACCACTACGAAAACAAACCTGAAATAGGACAATTCGCGCCCACGTCTTCTGACGAAGTGAGAGGCACAATCAAATACAGCAGTGTCAGCTAAAAGACCCCTGGAAGAGACAGAATTACGAATCGTGCGAGCAAACACGTGCCGTTGAATGCCACAGTTTACAGCCATCATAATTGGGATTTTAAGAACTCAGTACTTTCCGAGACTTTTGAAAACAAGCAGAGATTATTTAATATTCACTATTCGATATTCAATATTAAAGAAATAAAAAATAAAAAGAATGGGAAACAGAAGGTAACTGTAAAATACAACAAAATAGGTTTCCAAAATACATTTAAAATATGCCAAATTTTTTATATACCTTTGCCTCCCACTGGAAGAAGTTCTAGTAGCGCACATGATCCTATTCCGCGTTTATCTGTTTAATGGTCAAAGGGCCTACTATATACCTACTACACCTCTGGTGGAATATTTTTGAATTATACACATGTTCCCAGCAAACATTTTCTATAACATTAGTTATAACTCGACTTTGTTAAAGACGAATTTACTTATTGAGGTAATTATTACGTAAAAATGACTAGAAAAATATACCTCTAATGTAAATTTACCAAACGGTTTTAATTTATATTTAAATTTACGTAAATTATACCAAGAAATCTACCTTTTACACAAATCTGCTTAAAAGTAACTTTAACCATATCAGCAAGGGAAAAACTACTAAAAAAAATAACCAACAATTACTTCAAAGCTAAATTTCCTTTGTAGTAAAATTAGGTGCCATATTTAGGTAATATCTACCTGTTTGGCAACTAAAAATCGTCTTTATAGTAGAATATCCAACTAGGTAGATTTGGTTAAAAATTCTACGTAATTTTATGCCTCCATAGTAACCTATTTGGCCGCTTTTATTTACTCTCCTTTAAAGTAATATTAGGTCGAGATCGTAGCAAAATTCTACCTGTTTATCTACCTAATTTCAACCAAATAGTCGAATACTCATTTAGTTGACCTATAAGTCATCTTGAAGAAATATTTATTAACTTTGTTGTAGCAATTACCTGAAAAATCTACCACAAAGTAAATTCGACTAAAAACCACCAATTTAAAAAGAATCATACATGACCTATTTGTAAAATTTATATTATTTAGGTTATTTTAACAATTAGGTTGTTCAGTTACTGTCTTCGTCATTATTCTTAAGAATTTCGGCCATTTTAAAAAACCATTACAGTCGTAATCTTAATTTACGTGTGGTGTAGATAGAGCTTTAAATGAGTGCGAAAAATAATTAATAAAATGAGTTCGAAAAATAATAAATCATATCGTTATACTTCCGATTTTTATCGTAAAGTGAAACGTCTAAAATCTCAAGTGCAGAAACAACGTGACATAAATATGTTATATTTACCTATAGGTAAATTTTTTATAAAACCTATAAGTTATTATTTCTTTAAATAGGTAAAGTTAACTAATATGTCGTGAAATTGAAGTTAATTCAACTTAGTAAAAAGGTATTTGTAAAATACGTAGATTTCCTTAGTCATAATAACTTTTAGGTAGAATTCGCACAATACGCCATATTTTCTTAACGTAATTGAAGTACGATTCCAAATTTTAAATTTTTAAAATGACCATAACTAAAACATACGAATGAAAATACCGAAAAACGAAACATTATTGATTTTCTAAAGTGATACACAACAAACGTAACATAGTTTTAGCTCATAATATTATTATTATTTTTTTACACGATCATATTTTTTTCTTATATTTTTTTAATTAGAGATTATTTTGGAAGGGCATTGTTATTTTTCTAAGTAGAACTGTTAACATGCACGACAAAATTTTCTTCGCATTAATTTGAACAAGCGTGAACTGTATATTCACCGCAATTACATTACATATATTTTTGTCACCGACATTTATTTATTTTCAGTCTTTTATGTGAATTAGGTATATGTTTTAGTTGTGTTGGTGACTTCTTACAATATTTCTACTTATATATATATATATAGATAAAAATACCAGATAAGTATAAAATTTCTTTTCGTACACTTGGAGGCATACGTCATCTGCAAATATTTTGGTAGTTTCTACCTAAACTTAGTTAAATCAACGTCGAATTAACGTTATACTGACGTCAAATTTCTTTAGAGAGGTATTACTAACCAAACGTACTGGGCTACTACAATGTGGATTTAGATGTAATTCTACCTATTTTAGTAAATAAAACCAAATTTCGACGTCGTCTTATTCTCCACTTATGTCGAATCCACGTCGAGCCAACGTAAATTTTACTTAATTATGGTTAAATCTAATTTTGCGATCAAATTTATTATATATAATTTAGGTAGTATCGACGTCAAATTACACCAAAATGTTTGCTGGGTTAGGTGCATTTTCTTTTGTTTTTATAAGATTTGTTCGAAATTGAAACACCTATAACAATTAACTTCCACCATGTATACTAGGGTGAAGCAAAATACTAACCTATCGAATTTATGGGTTAAAATGAACCTATATACCGAGAAAAAAATTTCCCTGCAAGGCTGGATTTTTTGCTCAATTTTACAAGGTGTCGGTGCGCATTCAAAGTTTCCCATTCAAGTAACATGTAAAAAATTCTCTTTTCATTAAAAATACCATAACTTTTGAACCGTTTAGGTTAAAAAAATTTACGTCACGGATTCTTGTAGAGAATAAAATTTCCTAAAAAATCTATCCCAGGATTATTTTTTTTAATTCAAAAATTCGTATGTTTGAAAGCTTTGAAACGTGAAAAAAATCAAAATATTCAGTTTTAGTGTTTTTTGACTAAAAATGTTTTTATTTAACAAAAAATTGGATTTAAATAATATAAAATAGTTAAAAAATATCGTTAATAAACTAGATTCGTCAAAAACAGTTCTTATATTCATTAAATTTTTATTGCAAATTTAACAAAATATTTTTGTATTACAAAAATTTGCTCACAATTGATAACGTTATTCATTACAAAAATTAAATTTTTTAACATTTAAATGATTTCAAGACATCAAGTGATAATTTACTTAACAGCTGTCGGTAAAATCAGCGGTTTTCGTAGTTTGTTCATTATGTGTAGCTTCTCGGGAGAGTCGATAGTGGCTCCCTCTTGAGGCGTTGCCGTCAAATATTCATAAAGTTTTTGTTTCATCTGACAAGCATCTTATTTACGAAGTTCTGTTTGTTTTCATTACTGAATTTTAATGGACTATATTGTATATTTTTTTAATTAATAACTACAAAAGATTATCTGTTTATAACCTTTCTGTTCTAATATAACAAACCTCTCACTTAGTTTTCCATAACAAACCTGTCACTTAGTTTTCCAAATATTGAAAATAAGTAAGAAAAAAAGTGCAATTAACTTATTACAAATTATGACGGCTAGAAATTCAATAATTTTAGTTGGTTTTGAAACTAGCAAAATCAGTGAGCCTAAACTTCCAACAAAACGACAAATCTTAAGATTATTCTCTTATAAACTTAAAACATAAGTCCCTTAACCTAACTATTCGGAATAGTGCTATAGAAGTCGCCAGTAATAAAAATATGGAATGATTTTAATCTTCCTACAATTAAACTATTTTACGTTGTTGGCAAAATTGAATGTTAATTCCGGGAATGGAAAAATCTTTTGAAATCCCGAAAAAAATAAAAAACTATTGCAAAAAAAAACAAACAAAAAGAGTTCTCAAAAATTAGATAAGTTGTTTAATATTTCTAAGAAATCATCAGACCAATTCCTAACTTTGTTAAACGAAGATACACCACTTCGACGTTCAACTGCAAAGTCTGTATTAAGTGAAACACCAATTCTAGAGCTGGAATTACTAAGTAAGTTGTTTCTTTCAAAGATTATAATACTTTTTCTTGTATAAATATTAATTATATTTTCTTAATTCATTAAAATTTTCAGGTACGAGTCAAAGTACTTCTTTTCATTCTTCACCTGAACACGAGCTTGAAAAATCTGTTTCATCATTTTCCAATGATTTAAAATGATTCGCTTCAGATTTAGAATATTCATATCCTGAAAATCATTAAAAACCAAAGAATATCAACGTTATAAATCCTGGAGTAGTGAGTGCTCTCGATCGAACTAATACTAGCAGCAGGAGCGCAGTATATATTCTCGCTGCCTTCTCTGTGTCATTATTAGTGCCTGTTGAAGGTACTAATTTAAGCTACAGTACCATTCGAAGGCATCGATTAGAAGCCAGAAAAGATATTGTAGATGATTTGAAAGACAAAATCCAATTTCCAAACAATCTTTTCCTTCATTGGGAAACGAAATTTCTTGTTGACGTTTGTGGATATGATAAAGTTGATAGGCTTGCAGTTGTATCTGACTCAAATTTCGAACAGTTACTCAACACCAAAAATCGAAAGCGGGACAGGAGAGCAACAAACTTTGTCCATAATTGACTCATTAGATGACTGGGGTATTGCAGACAAGATTAAAAGCTTATGCTTCGATACAACGACTTCCAATACAGGTGAACGAAACTTGGGTTAAAGGTTGACTGTTTTTTGTTTTAATTTATTACGTTTATTATTATAGGACCGCACAGTGGTGCATGTGCGACATTGGAACGTATACTTGAAAAGAAATTTCTTTATTTTGCTTGCCGATATCATGTTTATGAATTAGTTCTTCGGAAAGCATGCCAAACTTGTTTACCTGCTACGTCAGATCCAAATGTTTCTACGTTTGAACGATTCCTGCAAACTTGGAAAAATATTGATCAAAGTAATTACATAACTGGATTGGACAATGAAATCATACGTGATAAAGTCATGGACGAAAGAGATAATGTATTGCCATTTATTTCCAAACAACTCAATGTATGAACTATTTTTGATTATTTAATTAGTTCCAGTCAATTTCATCTTTCAACCGTTTAAGTACTTAAAAACATGATTTATTGAACTTTTTCAGGAACACCATCCTCGAGATGATTATAAAAAATTCTTGTATACATTTTTTTAAATGATACGCAAACTTATCTTGTCACATTTAAAGCTCCTTTCACTTTTCAAAGCTTTCAAATTACGAATTTTTGAATTGAAAAAAATAATCCTGGGATAGATTTTGTAGGAAATTTTATGCTCTACAAGAATCCGCGACGTAATTTTTTTTATCCTAAACGGTTCAAAAGTTATGGTAGTTTTAAAGAAAAAAGGATTTTTTTTACATGTTATTTGAATGGAAAATTTTGAATGCTCACCGACACCTTTTAAAATTGAGCAAAAAATGCTGCCTTGCAGGGAAATTTTTTTCTCGGTATATAGTTTCATTTTAACCCATAAATTCGATAGGTTAGTTTTTTTGGCTCACCCTAATGTATACATAAAGGTGCTTAACAGTGTTAACTCAATAATCTATCATCCAATATACCAGACTGGCTGTGACTACTATATAGCACAAAAGAAATAAGACAGCCATTGTTTTGAGAAAACTTTCTTGATTCCATTTCCTATACCTACCTACATATTAGGTAATGACGCGCGTTGCAAAGATACGTTGTCACAATATACACAATATATTTCATTGATCACATAATTAGTCGTACAATATTGTTGATTATCTAGTTTTCCTTTGTGCTTATGTTCTAGTACACGCATTTCTTTTTTTTTAATTGTCCGTGCAGCTTCAAATTGTGTTAATACTTTTAAGTAAAATTTGTCTATTTAAAATAATATACTACGAAATGTCTCATTTAATACCCTGTATAAGTATAAAATCTGTTTGCAGCGATATGCCTGATGGAAATATTTGTTATATCGCTCGATTCCTTTAGCATTTCTTCGAAGTCAACATGCATATTTCTTCGTCTGTAGCGCTTGGATCCACTCTGCATTTTTCGGGCCTCTGTTCAAGGCAGATTAGAGACGTTTCAGCCTGTAAGCAGTAAATAGGAATAAAATAACATATATTTAGCTTTTCGATGGTCTAGTTTTAATACCCCGTAACTGCATGGTGTGACATTTTACATTTCTCGTTTTGCTTTTTTTACTCGATACCGTCCCTTGTGCTTCGTTTGCTCAATTGATATGGTTTTCTCGATGTCACGTGACCAAAAAATGTACTCGTTCTGCTCGATGAGGTATATTTCAAACGTAGCAACAGGAGAAGCTTTTATATGATTGTAATACGAGTTATTAGAGTAGTTAAATTTCTCATGTAAATATTGTTCGAAGCACCGAAGCCAATAGGTACTGGGGTGCGTTCGTAAATCGAGAGCGTCAAAATTTCAATCGTCCCGACAAAATGGCCATTTGTCATTATAGTCCAATCAAGTTTTTGGTCATGTAGAATTATTGTAGAAATTATCAAAAATTATTAAAAAGGTAATGAATCTAAATGGAACGTATCGATAACAACATTAGGTCTAATGTTTCATCTGTTAAGAAAATAATATTTTCCTAAAAAATAAAAATTCCTTTAATTCTTTGTTATAAAATTTTATCATTTGCTATAATGAAATTATTATTATCTCGGGAAACTAGACGATAATTGATGGAATTAATTGCTTAATTCGTATGAGTATTCATATTTAAATATTTTAATCAAAAAGTAAAAATAGGGAATGAAATAGGTGGTTGTCCATGTTAATTAAGGTTATGTTCGAAATCATACGAACATATGGCACAAGTCGAGTAAAAATTATCCTACTCAACACTGTGGGTAAAATTTCTTCATCTAGACGCGTTTTCTTTTAAATATGAACGGCTAGGGTAATTCGTCCCGATAAAACGTTCCACATTTAGGAACACTTTTTAGAGTCTAGACAACGTCCGGACGCACCCTAGTGTATTTTAACTAATGACCAATGAGTAAATGTACAACCGAATGGCGTGAAAAAGTGAAATTTAAATTTTTTGCAGATACGAGGTATTAGAAATAGACCATCGTTTTGTTGATTTAGAAAACGCCTACGATACCATGCTACTCCAAAAACTATTTGAAGTTTTATAATCCCCATGTTTTCCCAAATGCCTTTCTCCCTACAATGAGAGACATTTTGCATTTGTGTTCCAAGTAAGTTTGCTATCTAGGAATAGACCCAGATATTTTACTTCGTTTGTTTTTTTAGCCTTCGTTGAAGTTTATAAAACTTCCAACCTTGTTTTCCGAGTAAAGGTTATCAGTTGTACCTTGTCAGGGTTTACCAAGAGATTTTCCCTAAAGCACCACATTTATGTCAGCTTAGAGTACTTTGCATGAGTTCGGAGACTATGGTTTGGTGTTTTCCTCATGTAATGATGACTATGTCATCAATTTATCTTTGGGGGCAAGGTCCTTGATTGTTCAGTGTGTTCTCAGCATGTCATTTGTCATTAGGCTCCACAGTAGAGGAGGTAGAACTTCACTCTGTGGGCATCCTCTGTGGATTTTCACTTGCTTGCTCTCACTGAACATTTGCACCTTTACTTGCCTTCCGCGTAAGATGTCTTCTATTCAGCAGCAGGTGTGTATGTTGGCATTGATTTTTAGGAAGTGATCAAAGGCTCATTATGTCAAGAAATGCTCCCAGTACTATTTCTTGGTTATTGAGCCCCCTCTATCTTGATTACAAGATGATGAAGAATAGACTCGCAAGATTTTTCTGATTGATAGATATCGTTGGTTTGTATGAAATTACCTCTTCATCAGAGTGGTTTGCCGGATATGCTGATCAATCAGTTTTTCAAATTCCTTCAAAAGATATGACATCAGAGTTATTGGTATGTTGTAGGCCTTCGCGTAAGCTTCAGCATAACCAATTATTCGGTTGCCAATCATTCAAAATAAAAAATTCAATTATCCGGTAGGTAAGCATATTAAAATAGGTATGTTTAATCTAACTAAAAAATACCTGTTGTCCTTCTCCATTTAACGATAAAATATGCCTGTGGCCATTTAGTCCGTTTTTGTGGGCACACATGGACTTTCCAGCGCAACAATGAGACTTCTCTTTTTCTACGAACATAAAAAATGTTGAATAATTATTAATAATCTGAAGTAGTTTGAATCAAAAAAGTGTTAGAAACCTGAAAGTAATTACCAATAATTGAGAGCTGCCTTCCTTTTTCTGCAAATTTGGTTTTGCTAGATTTGTGGCCCAGTCCATTAACGTATACCGAACTATATGACAATGTTGTGCAAACTGAGTGCCTCCCCACGGCTGATCTACAAAAATTTTGTGCTATCACTTTGACCTAGTTCAAACGTATCGACGACATCAGTTTTGTAATATTTTAATTGCTAAAAATAACACAAACCTCAAAAATTTTTCTCTGCAAGGAAAGCATAATCCAAAAACTCTATGGGTGGCAAAATAGCTGAGCATATTCAAAATGTGTGGTTTTAATTCCGTTTTGACTTCACCATTCATAAAGCAGAAAAGAACTGCCACAAATAGACCCTGGAATAAAAATGTATTATGTATAACTCGAGCAGGTAACATTTTAGAGATCTATCTATATATTAACTCTAATGAAGTATACTAATACTAATATGTGAATCTAAAGATCGCCGACCTTCATTATCTTAGGACTAATTTTAAAACAAAACTTCAAAGTAGTCTATCATCATAAATATTTTTGGATTATTAAAAATTAACGGTGTGTATGGACTAAGCGTTTAAGTAAAAATGTTTGGTACCTACCTGAAAGCTTCCAAAAAGTGAATCGCATATCAGCCATATATCCGTCTTTCCTGTAAAGTAAAATAGTAGCAAAACTGAATAATGGACGCCAAATAGAGGTACTAAAACTAATGTAGATCTAGCCCATCGTTGATATCTCTTTGTGTCTTCGCATATAGGAGATTTTAATTTCGTGTAAAGTACCACTGATATTACGATGAAGAGTCCAAAGTTGATCTAAAATTAAAAATATACTTTGTGTAAAACTTTGACAGTTATCATGGGAAAATGGGGGCATTGGATAAGGTGGACAGAAGAGAGCTGAAGGAGTTTCTATATATGGAGTATTCCATAGCTTACCAAAACAGCTATCATTGTAGGAATAACGATTATTAAGTAAGCTTTTAAATTATCATTGGTAGTCCAACACATCGAGTCATCCAGAAATATTCTTGTTACAATCCATGGTATGATCACCAAAAATGGTAAACCTACGAACATCATTATTTTATATTGTCTTAAAAAAGGAAAAAATCCTTACCCCATCCAAAGCAAATGTAATATATTAAGTTTCTGCTTGAATCTGCAAATAAGGCTCGCCATATTAAGTTATTTAAGTATAGCCCTTCCATTAAAATCCAAGAATAATTCGCTAACGTGAAATACTGTACAAAAGATGTCAGCAATTTGCATTGATAATTATTCCCCTAAAACAGCAATACAATAAAATTAAACATTTCCATTATATTAATTTTTATTTTTTGTTATATACTGAATTAGTTATTGTTACCTCAGAATCAGTTTTGAAGTATAAATCGCCGTTTTTCCCAACAAAATCTATTGTCAAACCTACACCATCCACAAACAGTATTTCTTTTAATATATGAAAGAATGCCCTGAATATAAACGACGCAAATAAATTCATATGGAGTATATTTCTGGCGCAATGAAGTTTTCTGAAAAGCAATATATTAATTTAAAAGATTGTTCTTATTAAACAGACTTACTTTATTAACAACATAATGAGGAAAGCTATTATTAGCGATACAAGAGACACTGCATAACCAGTTTGAGAAAGAGCTTTGATGATTGGCACCAATTTTTCATATTTATCTGTAATTTCAGTCCGTTGATGGGTGACATTTTTAAAGATTGTTATCGTGCTGCCTATAGAACACGCTGTATAATCACCCCATGGTTCGTGTGTTGAGTCATTCACATACCAGGTTCCATTTTCTGTGCAGGTTCTAGTTGCATTGTAGCCCTAGAAATAAAAATTTAATTAAATTCAAATTAATGTAAAGAAATTTGATGTGAATTATTTTTACGCATTGAAATCTAAAAAAGTTAATCCTGTTTACCTGTAGTCGAAAGGTAAAAAGGGCATAAGTCAATTTTTGGTGATTAGATGGGTTCGGTTTTTTAGGAGTTGGAGCGGGACAGAAACAATTTTAATTGCCCATGATCTTTGTTACCAGACAGACACAATCAGAAAATTCTGAATAAACATTTAAAAGGCTATGGTGTTGGGATAAGACGCATAAATTAAGCGTCATATTTTATTTGTTGACTGTGCCTCTTATTCAATAAACAATTTAAAAGAAATAGAAGGTGAGCTTGAAGTGATAAGTGTATTAAAAATATCTATCGCAACAAGAACTTCCTCCAGCTAAACGAAATAGGAGACAGCATAATAAAAATAAAATAGTACAATTATTTGTGGTTCATCTATGGTTTCCTAACTGTGCTATTCAAACTGAATTGAATCATTAATACAATGATAGAAGTAAAAAAATAATAAATTAATAAAATTTAATAATTTTTTATTTTTATTGAATTTACTTTTAGGAATTACGAAACATTTTTAGGTTTTAAAGAACATGTTTTGAGTGAAATATATGTTGTTATTGGAGTTTTCGAAACTTGGCTTACAAATTTAATTTCTGATCCAAATGTTTTAATTCCATGATACCATATGAGTGAGATGTCACCATCGACGAACAACTACTAGACTAATTTTGTTTACAAAAATCAAATTGCAAACATTCACGGTGTCATCCAAGTGGTTGTCAAATTATTATGAGATAGTATTGTTACAAGGATTGTTTATTGTTATAATTCGGTATTGACTAAACATTAGGCTATAAATCGCACAAGTTTCTCAAAATTACATCAGGGGAGCATATTTGCATTCTTAATGCCAGTTATTTAGTTTAATGTATTTTTCTCGTTGCAACTATTATAGTTGTATAGTGTTTTTCAGGAAAGTATGCAATTCGTTTCGAAGTGTGACAGCTGTGTAAAGCAAGCGTAATAGACGTGAATACTGATTAATTATTAAAACGCATGCTCGCTCCATAGATAAACATACTCTCGCAATATTATCCCCACTCAAATTAGCAGCCGTCATCTTCTTTCTAATGCGGCAGCCGATGTGACAGAGAAGGGCAAAGTAGGCATCAGCTCTTTAAATTTAAAGTAATTGAGAATGTTGAACAGAAGTCTATTTGATGACCGTACGCAGGGGCTGGTAACTCAAATGGAAAAACATGAGGTTGGTAATTTAGTACCACCCCAATTAACGGGATGGCGCTTGTATCGAAATGTCATGTCAGTTGTCAGCTCGTCAAAACTTCAAGAAATTAAAATGGCTATTGTATTTGAAGGTGTATTTAATTTTGATTCATCTAGAATCTAGATTTATTTTTCAACACCTTCCAATTTTAAGCATGTTTTCAAAAGATGGGAAGATGGATTTCAGCAACAAACAAATAAAGCACTCCCAGATATTGGTAGTAATGCAATTTATACCACATTAAATATGCAGTCGTCCCCCAAATTGTAATAAGTGTCTTAAGAAAAATGCACCATCACTGTACCAACGATAAGTAATATTTACAAACTTGTATTTGATTCAGTGTTAAAATAATTGGTTTGTTATTTAAATTTCTTTTTGTTTTCAGTTTTTAAATGATCATTTTTGTAAAGAAAATGTTGGCCCTCCAAAATACCCTGTCGATCGATGAAATATTTGAGCCTCAGCCATCAATATCAAAAATTGATTCAATGCCATTAACATCAAACAAGAAAACACCCTAAAATCTTCAAGGTTCCAAACGTGTGTAAGTTTAATTTATGCTCAAAAGTTAAATTTATTTATCACAGTGCCCACATGATGAATAAAAATTTGATAACTACAAGTGCTGTATAAATGAAACAATTATCGGATGAAGAAATGCTCCTCAACCTAACTAGTCGACTCGATAACCGTAAGGCAAATTTTATCCACACTCAAATTTGCCTGGATAGTAAAAAAGGATGATCCTTCAACTTCAATTTTTTCAAACTAATTTGCCACTCCAAGTCGCAAAACTTTTATAAATGTCTTGAGCACTTATATATGCTGATTTTGTTACAGAAAACATTTTTGATAGGTTTGTGTTATAAATATTTAATTATTTAAATGGTGTAAATGTATATCTGTTTAGAGTATTTCCATGTTTAAATAGACAAATTATATGATGCGGCGTTAATTTACTGTAATAAAAAAAAAAAAAAAAAAATAAATGGCATTTTATTTCAAGTTTGAAATTAATGCAAAAATATAATGAAGTAAAATCAAATAAAGATATAAATTGGCAAAATATTTGACTAGTTTCAAATCGCAAAACAGTCAATATGGTTGTTTTATGATTTGAAACTAGTAAAATATTTTTCCAATTTTTTTGCTTTATTTGATTTTCTTCATTACATTTCTGCGCTACTACAAAGTTAAATTTCAAAAAGCCCGCCCGTGGCGGCTATATTGAATTTTAGTACCACTCCAATTTGATAGATGGCCGCACATCGACTCAGAATTTTACCATTGAGTTTCCCATCTATTCACATTAGTAATATATGACCGTACGTTTGCAATAAACCTACTTAAAAGAATATTTTAAAATGTTTAAATAACCTTAAAGAAAATCTATCAGACTTAATTTAAAGCTACTCAAAAATAGTTATTGATGTAGTCATATAAATACTAATCTTTTAGAAACGACAGATAATGAACTAATACAATTATATGACACTATATTAGCTTATTCAATTTTACGGAAATTATTGATAAACCCACTCGCATTACTAAAACTTCAGAATCTCTGTTAGATGTTGTTATCTATCGTTCCGGGTGATCTAGAAGTCAATCACTTAGTAAACGGTTAACTTAATTAGGGTTTGCCTGAGGTCACTTCAAACGTAACAGAGCAGAAATTTAAGAAACAACAAACAAATGTATTGTAGTATTATCACCGCCTACAATCAGAAGATTTTAACAGTTTCAATTTTTTTTATAAGAAAGATGTAAATGAAATGGTTACATTTTATAAATAAGTTGCTAAAAAGATATTTAATAATCTGGTAGCGATAATGATTTTAAAACAAAAAACCAAACCTCCTTGGCTTACCAATCAGAGCTGGGTAATTCCTAGTTAAAAAGTAATTAATAATTACAATTGATTTTTTTACGTAATTTGTAATTGTATTTAAGTAATTTGGAATTGTAATCGCAGCAAAATATGTACTTTGTAATTAAATTATTACATTTTCTAATTACAATTACATTTAAATACGTGTTTACGATGTGCAACGTGGTATAAAAACAAGAAGTTTCTTGTTCGAACGGGCCACTAGAGCTCGGACTCGCATCCATCTCATTTGTTTGAATGCATGTGACGAAAGCGCTGTGCCGTGGAAAGAGTCTCAGTGAAGTAGTCAAATTGTTGAACCCAAAATAATAACAGTAAGAGGTAAGTAGATGTAGATACCCTTATTTTTAAGACGTATTTTGTATTTATATTAATATAAACGTATTTTATGTTACATAAACATTATAAACTAAGGAAATATAGTATGAAGTGATGCATACAGCAGTTTTTATGGGCTTGATTAAACGGCCCCAGACTAATGATGCCCGATTTGTATGGTATGATTATATTATAAAAGCACCTAGGCCTAGGTACACGAACTTTGTATTTCCGAATTAATAAACTTTAAAGGTGGATTCATAAAATATGTTCAGTTCGCGTTCAGTTCACGCTCAGTTCGAGTTCAACAGAAACAGAGCAGAATGACACGGTAAGTATGTTTTGGATAAGAAATTATAACGGATTCATAATTATTTTATAACCAACACCATCTACAAATATAATTAAAACAAAAATAACACCAAAATATAATTTTATTTTGTGGAATTTGTGGTTATGTCTTGCCAACTCGAACTGAACGTAGTTTATGAATCCACCTTTAACAACTCACATTTTATTATTAACTTTCTGGTTCCATTTGTTATACTACTTGTCGCTTGTTATGAATTTTATCTTTTCCCTTAAGTTAAGGAGACCCTAAATGGTATAGAAAACAATACGCTTAGGGTTTGCTTGTTGCATAAAACTTATTTAAAGTTAAGCTCAGTTTTAGGTCGCACAATTTCCGATTTTAAAGGTACAGTCTAATGTTTGGTGTTTATACTGTATCTATGTCATACAAAATTTATCATGTGTCACCTCAAACAGATTTTAACTTTAAGTAAGCTTTATACAACCCGCCCTTAAAATATCTTTAACTTAATGGAATAATTAAGAAAGGCAATGCAAACGGCTGTTATAAATGAACCCGAGAATAACATATTCTCGGGTTGAACACTTTGAATTACCTATCCAAAATTTTATTCTTACCGGTCCGGTTGGTTCATGGTTCCTCATCAATTCTATCATCATTTATTGTTTTATCCGCAGAGTAATTAGAAAAGTAATTATAGAAGTAAATAAATCTATACAATTCCTATTTTTACAACATGTACTTTGTACTTGTAATTCTTTTATTTTTTGAAAAAGTGCTTTGTAATCATTAAAAAATGTATAAAAACAAAAGACCCTCATCATTGGGATTAGAAAAATCTAAGAAATTTTACTATCAGTTCAATCAATAATGAAAAACGACGGTTATCTTTAATTTATTGCCGATAACATTAAAAGAAATAAAAATAATTTAGGAAAAAAAATTAAACTCGTTATTTTAATCAAATTCAAAAATTAAGAGAATTATTTTAAAAAGAAAATTTGAATACGATTCTGTTGAAGCGCTACGGGCTAATTACGACCCTGTTATAAAATCGATCGTGAACGTCACGAAAATACTTCTGCGCCTACGGTACATTTGACCTTCCATGATTTCAGATATCGCTTCTATTTTATAGTCAAGCTTCTACGTTGTAAATTGTTGTAACTGTTACGCAGATTGCTCTATAATTTTAAAATAGATTCATTTATATTGCTTTAATTTGAGGAAGTTTTACTTTTAAATATTTTACTACCATTTGAACTACTATATCTGCGCCATCTTCCGGATATTGGTCGATATTTTTTTTTGACAGAACAACGTTGACATTAAACCACGTGTTTGATAACCTATAAATTTGGTAAACTCTTTTTGCAAAGATGCCTAAATCAAAAAGGGATAAGAAAAGTAAGTAATATCTCAATAAGATAATAATTTTTCAATGAAAGAGCATGTTATATTATTCGTTTTATATTTTAGTTTCTTTAACAAAGACTGACAAAAAAGGATTGGCTTTGAAACAGAAAATCGTGGAAGACATACGAAATTGTGTAGAAAAGTATAAGAGTATATACGTATTTACGTATAGAAATATGAGGAATGAAACGATGAAATCGGTACGAGAAGAATGGAAACCAAGCAGGTTTTTCATTGGAAAAAATAGAGTTATAGCCATAGGATTTGGTAGAACGGCAGAAGAAGAGGTCGGGGAAGATTTACATAAGGTAAGGACAATTTTCTCTTCCTTAATTTTGCATCATCCAGGTTAAATGATACTACTCTACTACAAAACTAATAATCTATAAATATATTATAAATCAACTTTTTTTTTAAAAGCATTAGGTTTTGTGAATTTGCATTATTGATTTAACAACCTTCATAGGCCTGGTTAGGGTTCGTTTGTACCCCATACGTTGTTGTATCTTTGCATGTACGAATTTTTAAACATTTATTTTCCATCTAGCTGCAATTTATGTGTTTTTTTGATAAAATATGATGTGTGTATTAATGTTAAGTGGCTGGTATAAATGTCAACTTTAATTTTATATCTCAACGTCTAAAGAGACTCTGGGATATGACAAAAAATATTACCTGAGGGCACAGTTATATATCATCTCTGTCCTGGCAAAGTATCGTAAGTGACATTTTTTGCGAAACTGGGATTTTGTTGTTGCCCGAATCATCTAAGTGCTACATCAACTCAAAAAAATATCACATACTACAAAACTCATAAAACATAAAACTTCTATGTAATAAGTTTGCCAGCCTATACACCCACAAATCATAAAATATCACAAGCTACAACATTTGTCACTTTGAATACACCATAATATTCTTAAAACCTTTTAAACATAAAGTAGGAAAAACAGTTTTTTATGTTTCCTGTAAAATTACTTAAATGGGGCATAGGATACTTTGTCTGAACAGGGATGATATGTTCAAAGAGAAAAAGACAGAAAATCCAGGAAAATAAGTGTTTAGTAATAAATTTGTGTACCTAGAACATTCCAAATCAATGATAGTGTGTAAAAAATGTTCACATGCAATGTAGCAAGTTAGTATTGATTATTAGGGTATTTTGTAATGTTTTCGTTATGATTTTTGACTAATAAATGCTGGCTCACTTTATGTTGAATATACCGGTCACAAATCAAACAAAGAAGCAATCTGGCTCCATTATTATTTTCACTTTTTATTAATGACATAGCCAAAGATTTTAAGAAGGAATATTTAATATTTGCCGATGATTGCAAGTTTATTTGTACCATAAATTCACAAGACGATTGTATAGACTTACAAAATGATTTAAATAAATTAAATAATGGGTGTATTACTAATAAATTGCCTCTTAACATTTAAAAATGCAAGTTCATGAGATTTTGAAACAAACATGAATAACATCCAGTTTGACTTCTCAATACAGAATAAACCACTTGAGGAAGTGGAGACAATAAAGGATTTGGGAGTCGAATTTGATAACTAGTTATGCTTTTACCGCATTTATTTAACATTACATTGACAGCTAAGAGAATGATTGGGCTTATTTTGAGAAGTTGTAAGGATTTCAGAAATATAGACTGTCTAATTGTATTATTCAACTTATTTGTAAGATCACGTCTTGAATATGTGGCACTGATATGATCACCCATGTATATCTTCCATAAGTTACTTATTGAATCTATCCATTGCTGATTTATGAAATACGTTGCATTTAAAATTGATTGGATTTATCCAGAAAGGAGAATTGACAATGCTGTTCTATTGGGTAAATTATCTTTATTTTCTCTAGAAGACAGGAGAGTACTGCAGGGCTAACTTTTATATATAAACTAGTTAATAATTTATCGGACTGTCACGACCTGCTATCCCAAATTAAATTTAGTGTACCTCATTTCAATACAAGATATAAAACGGTATTTTACTTGCCCACACATCGAACAAATATTTTGACAAATTCACCTATTCACCATTTGCAACAATTTTAATAGATATGCAGCTGAATTAAATTTGGACATAAACTTTGACTCTCTTAAAAGCTAAAAGCATTAAACGTAAAATCAATGAGTACTTAGGGTCAGTTTAAATATGTGAAGCACAAAGCTATTAATTTAAGTATTTTAAGTTATTTTATTTAAATTAGGAATAATTATATGTATACATATATTTTTTTATTGTATGTGTCCTCTAATTGGGGTTTAACCTGATGGGACAATAAAGTATTTTTTTTCCTAATAATAACACGTTAATAAAATTACATTTTTATATAGGCAATTTAAAGAAAAAATTACTTCGTTTTTGCATTTTTAAGCAACCATTTTTGTAAAATTTTGATGTGTGTCCCATGAAAGTTACGAAAGTGTAACTAATTTATTAGAACCTACAAACGAATTAAATTTGTTGACATTAATATTGTGTCAATTTAATTAATCTCCAAATATTAGGTCAATAATTTTGAAATGATTGTTTACTTTTTTAATTAATTCCTCGATTAATTCCTTTATGTAATTTAATCCTTTTATCAATTTTGATTCATTGTTATAAAGGCATCTATAGGCAATATTGAAATTATGCATGATAATAAAAATAATTAATGTGAACATATTGTAGTGCCAAATATCTGGTATTATTTTATTATTTTATAGTTGGTTTAAAATGCTTTTTCAAATAATTTTCTTTATCATATATTCTTTCTGAATACTTCTTGCAGCTTGCAAAATTGTTTTTATTGGAACTATGTTTTAAATTAAATTAAAACTAAGAAACATTTTATTTTTGTAGTTGTCAAGTTGTTTAAAAAACCAATGTGGACTTCTGTTTACTGACTGCAAAAAGAAAGAAGTAGTAGAATGGTTCAAAGATTATTCTGTACAAGAATTCGCTAGATCAGGTTTCATACCTAAGAGCACAATAAAATTAGAAGCAGGACCTTTAAAGCAGTTTTCACATGCTATTGAACCTTATTTGAGACAGCTTGGATTGCCAACAAAATTAGATAAAGGTAAAGTATTAAATTATTGAATGTACTCTAGTATTTAAATGTTTAATTCAATTTTAAATATAGTTAATTATTTTGTAGAGGATAATTCACTAATTCAACCACTCAACAAACATTTCTGAAGTCTATTTACCAAAAATATGTTTCTCAATCTCAATACATTTTAGTATATACCCAAATTACTTAATAATTGCATTTTTTTTAGGAGTCGTAACGTTATTAAAAGACTTTGAAGTGTGTACCAAAGGTAAAAGTTTGACGCCTGAACAAGCGAAAATTCTGGAATTACTAGAGCACAAATTGGCAACTTTCAAATTGATACTGAAAGCGAAATGGACTAAAGGAAAGGGTTTTGAAAAGTTTAAAGTAGAAGATGATGAGGATGAAGAGGATAATGAGGATGAAGCTGATGTAGAAATGGATGGTGATGATAATTAGTGAATGTGTTTTAGTTTTTAAATATGTGTACATATTTATTTTTATTATTATTATAAATAAGATTGAAAAAGTTTGTTGGTTTTAATTTTTAAACAGTAAATGCCTTTTTGACAGGTAATGACAATAATAAACTGGTGCAAAATGGTAAGTAAAATAAAAAATCAATATTTTTGTTATTTATTTTATTTATTTATACTGCAAAACTAACAGAATGCAATCCATTTACATGTTATAGAGCACTTACAGTAATTACTAAAAATAAATTTAAAAATGGTATACAATTAATAAAAAATATATATGTAATATTAAAAGTTATATAAGTCATAATAGTTTTTGTTAAAATGTATGTTTATCAAATATTAATTTCAATTTGTTGAAAGACACTAAAAAGGCCAATGTTACTGCTAATCAGGAACCCATCTATTATTTGAAGAGCGTTATCAATAGGTGAGAATAAATTATGGTTGGAAAATAATATGTATCTTTGCCTAAGGCGAATATATGGTACGTTGAAATTGATGGAGGCTAGTAATTCAGGTAACTTAAAATTTCCATATATAATGTTTGTTATAGATGTTAATTGGGCTTTGTTCCTTCTGCTAAATAGTGTTTCAATCATGTTTAAATATTAAAATCTATTAACTTGTTCTTGTAAGAGATACGTTAGGGGCAGTCTCCATATTTTTTCATGTGCAGAGTTCTGACAAAACACTTCTGCTCTTTTTCCAAGCTCTGAAAATGACTATATTAAAGTGAAAGCGCTTAGCCTAATTTCTTAATAAAAAATTTAAATTTTTTACACTCTTGTACATTTTCCACTTTCATTTCAATTTGTTATTTTAGTTGATTGTAATTATTGTCTTGTATTTTTGATCGTTAGAGTTCTGCAAAGTTTTTCAATTATTTAAGTTTACGTTTTATTCAATTATGCTTTGTCATATGTTGTACATTCAATTAGGTAATAAATTAGGCAATAAATTAGGTAATTTAGTCATATTGCTGAATTCCCAATAAAATTACCATTTCAATGATGGTTCATAAACTTGTTACTTTCCCTATTTAAAAATTATATTGGTTATAGTGAAGGAGGGAAGAGAAATGCCGTATGACAGTTGACGATGTGCTAGAAAGTTGTCCCGCTTGGGATAAAAGATGACCTTTTTTGCAGCCGATAACAGTCTTAATCAGCAAGCTGTTGAAAATCAAAACTAAAATAAAACAATTGCGTAAAATTTAAATTACCTCAATAAGAAAGAGTATACAGTACGTTAAGTTTAGAATCCTGAATATTGGAGAAAAGGTATGAAAAACAGTAGCATTGAATACAGAGAAATAAAACTACCTGTTATCCCACTACCACAGTAGAAGTGAGGTGCAAGTGCAGCTCATGATACAAAAAACAGGTATGATACTTATCCGACGAAATCTCGTCGAGTTCGCGCATGACGTATTGTGGTGTGGAATATGGTTATCTGATTGGCCATGAGCTGATTCAAATTTATTTTCGCGCGTTATTTTCATCAGCTGGTATGTCAAATTCGTGAAAGCCATGCCTTCTTTTTATTATATCATGAACAATTAAACATTCCATAATAAGCAGTTTAGTTTAATGTTTAGGGCCATATTTACAATCCTTGGTACTTTTTACTGCCATATTAAGTGGAAATTAATGTTATTTCAATCATATTTTTGTCAAGCACTTTTGCACATTTTTTTTACCTGAGCTAACAATAACATTTTAAATTACATCATGTTTGCCGAGCCGGCACTACGATGTTTGTGGACTTTTCGATTCGATTAATTTCACAATATTGGTATATCTGTCGGAAAAAATGTTACACAACATGCGTGGGTTGTGTCTTGTCAAAAGCGTCGTATAGTTTTCACTTCACGTTTATTTGGGTGTGGCGTGTTGTAATTTTATTGAGGATTTTTTTGGCTTTATGTGAAAATTTTGTAAGAGCCAATAATATATAAAATGGGAGAGAAACCGTAAGTAGAACATATTATTTATTTTGCTAAGTGACTGATATCTCGCCGAATATTGCACAAAGGTAAAGTTACTATTTAGAGGTTAGGTTTAAAATAACCGGTATGAGCTGATTTAACATTATTAGCATTCGCATACGTTAAATTAGAAATTAAAAATTCTATGTTTTAGTCGATTATATGGTAAACATGAAAATCAGACGTTTAAGTAGAAGACACAGAAACAAAAAAAAAAGATAATACTTGTACCAATAATTGTATACACAAATTGTGATAAATTTGGTAAATGTATAGTTTGAGCTCATTTCGATTACACAAAAACTAAGCATAGAAACTCGTAGGTATTATTGTTAACAAAAAGTTTCATATCTTGTGCAAATGCATAATAAAGACACATAATTTTTTTTAAAGAAAAATATGCCATTTTTTTTATTAATTTTATCAATTTTACGAATAGGGATGCTGGGTGGTTAAAACAATGTCAATAGTTATTATAAAATATTGTTGAGGCAAGGAAATTTATTACAAATGAATTGCTGCACTTTTGATACTAAATAATTGTAATAGTAAACTTTCATGCAACTTGGCAACAGTGTAAGACGTAAAAGTAGCATCTCCTAGCTTTGATTTGAGAAAATTTGTGAAATATCTCAATTTCAAAAAATTAATTGTGTCGTAATTTGCAAAAGATATGGAACTAAGATATATGAAAAATAAGCATATACAGGGTGTTTCATAAGAAATGGTAAATATTTTAAGCACATTAATATTTTGTTAAATAACATTGGGTCAAATGTTATCTTCTGAATGGACAATGATATTACTTAAAAAAGCATAATTGGTGTAATTAAAATTTATATTTTATCGAGCTCAGGTTAAATTAAACAATTGGGACTCCTATTATTTTCCCTTCGCGGGCGCCAAATTTGTAAGGGGTTTTCTCGCCACAGAGAAAACGGTTCCTTACGAATGGCGCTGGTTACGGGCGGTTCTCGAGCGCCAGATTTTTGCTTATGGTTTACTCCACAAACTCTCTAAACGGCGTCGAAAGTACTCGGGTAGCTACAGATGGAGATGAAAAATTCCAGGGGACAAAGGTCACTTAGACACATGTAATAGTAGGCCACAAGTAACGTGCTTTAATCGTTGCTTGGGCTGGTATAGAACTTATCACTAGCTGAAATACAAGGGGGAAATAAAGTATGGAATTAGTAACCAGTAATACGGCAAGTTAACATTGACACATATATTGTTTTAAACTATTTACAACATAAAAGAAATTATATATTTCAACGCCCACCCTATAGTTGCGGTGATTTATAGTCAATATAACCCTGAACAAAAAAATAAAGAAACAAAACGGACGGTATTGAATCCCGACTAGTCTCAATCAGACGTCAAAATTAAATTAAAATAAAATGAATGTTTCGGTCGCAGAAAAAAATTATTAACTTGGCTATTTAGTCGGTAATTAAACTAAAACATAATTTCCCATTTCGGTAAGGAAAAATCCTAAGAGCGGTCGTAGCAAAAATTAACTATTTAACTGTTGTATCGGGAATTAAACTAAAATGTAATTATTTTTACTATTTCGGCAAGGAAAAATTATCTAAACGGTCATAGAGACTGCGAGGAGACAGGAGCGCGAAAGAACTATTTATAGTAAATATACGGAAAAGGAAAAAAATAAATTATACCCGGGGTAGCCCATTATCCCAGAATGAGCTGATCGTAATCACGAGCCCGCTCAGACAGGGTAATGAAGCTATTTAAGTTTTCTGTAAGTTGCAATTTGCACGAAAAAAAAAAAAAAAAAAAAAAAAAAAGAATACAAACGGAATAAGAAAACTAACGTGGATAGCACCTAATCAAAGAATGAACTGATCGTCATCACGAGCCCGTTCAGACAGGGACAGGGTACTATTTAAAGTTATTTAAATTGACGGTGAAAGAGAAAAACAAAAACTATTATCGGAGGGAAGAAAATTACTAACGCGGATAGTACCTACTCCAAGAATGAACTGATCGTCATCACGAGCCCGTTCAGACAGGGACAGGATACTATATAAGATTATTTAAATTTGCTGTTTACACATTAACTAAAAAAAAAAAAAAATACGTGTGGCACTCGGGGACTGCCGCGGTAAAGCTATTGCATAGCATTTTTTATCAACTTATGCAAGGTTTTTCTTTGACTTTAATTCATGTTACATTTTTTGAGCGTGCTGACCGATAAGAAAACAAATTTTTTTCTTTTATTGAATAAATGAGAAGTTAATATTGTTTAAAATATTTTTATTATCTTACAATACATGTAACTATAGGTCTATGGTAACTGAAATAAGAAACATAAGTTTGAGACTTGATATCCTCTAAATATCTGGAAAATAACGCGTCAACGGTGGTCCCATATTTTGTTGTGGATTCTTGTGGATCATTATTCATTTTCAAATTCAATTTTTCCGAAATTATGTCTAAAAGAAATAGAATCAGTCATGAGCAGTTAGCAGGTGTTAGGTTTTTTTTCGTTACGGTGTTACGGAATTTCTTGATTCGGTCGCCGCGCTCAAAGCCCGCGATAAAAGCTATGCAATAGTTTAAAAAATATAACGCGGATAGCACCTACTCCAAGAGTGAACTGATCGTCATCACGAGCCCGTTCAGACAGGGACAGGATACTATATAAGATTATTTAAATTTGCTGTTTACACATTAACTAAAAAAAAAATACGTGTGGCACTCGGGGACTGCCGCGGTAAAGCTATTGCATAGCATTTTTTATCAACTTATGCAAGGTTTTTCTTTGACTTTAATTCATGTTACATTTTTTGAGCGTGGTGACCGATAAGAAAACAAATTTTTTTCTTTTATTGAATAAATGAGAAGTTAATATTGTTTAAAATATTTTTATTATCTTACAATACATGTAACTATAGGTTTATGGTAACTGAAATAAGAAACATAAGTTTGAGACTTGATATCCTCTAAATATCTGGAAAATAACGCGTCAACGGTGGTCCCATATTTTGTTGTGGATTCTTGTGGATCATTATTCATTTTCAAATTTAATTTTTCCGAAATTATGTCTAAAAGAAATAGAAACAGTTATGAGCAGTTAGCAGGTGTTAGGTTTTTTTTCGTTACGGTGTTACGGAATTTCTTGATTCGGTCGCCGCGCTCAAAGCCCGCGATAAAAGCTATGCAATAGTTTAAAAAATATAACGCGGATAGCACCTACTCCAAGAGTGAACTGATCGTCATCACGAGCCCGTTCAGACAGGGACA